CTCGAGACTTTCTTTTCCCTCATGTTATCTGTAACACATTACTGTTTATGTTGTTTATTTTACTTTTAACTGTTACTATGTTTTTGCAAAGACATTTAATCTTTATTTTCATGTTTATGTCTCAGATATATGATAATACTATTTGATTTGGGTCATTAAATAACTTCTTATATAATGCACATACTTCTGGTGTCTTTTTACTATTAATTTGACACTCTTAAAGTATTCTACATACATGATCTTTTTCAGTAATATATCCTACCCGCTAGAATATATTTTCTCTGTCTTTTGGTAAGTAACTATTAATTTTGGTGGACACAAAATTATTGGAGTTTACTCTTATTGTTGTATTTTGATGACTCCTTTCAAAATTATTTTCTTCCATAAAATCTAGAAATTTTTTCTAGTGTTGTGTTCCAGCAGCATTGCTAGATAGTGCTTACTACATATGATTTGAGATTAATTTAATGTACATGGCAATGTAGTGTTTTTCTGATCTAAAACTAAAGTGTTTTTCATCTAAGGCTGAAGTTATGAGACTATTATTAATTGTGAGATGAAGTTCTTTATACACTACCCAGTTTCTTCATTTGTGTTGTTATATATACATGTTGTGGTTTTATGGTGATTGCCAACTTCATAATGTGTTCAAATGCAATGAAAAAAAATACAATTCATTTGTACTGTCTACAGTGATTTCCTACTTTACATTCCTGATATCAACTAATAGAGTCTCCTGTATATTTGGCTTGATTGACCACTCACCACAAAGGAATTATCAACTTTATAGATCTATGCAATTAAAGTATTTTTTTCTTTTAACATTCTATAGTCATTTGCCACTGTTTTATTGCTCACAGTTCTTGTGATTATCCTTTTCCTTCCTCTATTTTCTTTGAATTTACTTTGCTATAATGATGGAAATATTGTAGTAAGAGCTGCGGGCCTCTTCCCACAGCCCGGCTCCCAGCTGCCTGGCTAGCTTATCCGCCAAAATAACAACACACAAACTGTATTCTTTTAAACACTGCCTGGCCCATTATATCTAGCCTCTTCTAGGCTAATTCTCACGTATTAATTTAGCCCATTTCTAATAATCTGTGTAGCACCACTAGGTGCGCTTACCAGGAAAGATTCAGCATGTCTGACCTGGTGGTTTGCTTCATCGCATCTGGCTCTGAGAGGAGCTGCATGATTTCTGAGCTCACTTCCTCTTCCTCCCAGCATTCTGTTCTGTTTATTCAGCCTATCTAAATTCTGCCCTATCAGATGGGCCAAGGCAGTTTCTTTATTAGCCAATGACCTTCCTCCATCAAAATATCTTGGCCATTTTTCCTTTTGTATAGTGTTGTTGTTCTCATCTTTTTATTGAAAAAGTCATACATTATATTTTGATTATGCTTTTTCCTCCTACAATTCCTCCTAAATCTTACCTATCTCCATACCTACCCATTTTTGTGCTCTCTCTCTCTCTCTCTCTCTCTCTCTCGCCCTCCCTCTCTCTCTAAAAAACAAATAGAAGAGAAACCTATAAAATAGAAATAAAAAACAACAAAAGACTAAAAATACAAAATAAAGCAAAATAAAACAGAAAGTCCACGAAAAATACTATTGAATGCATTTTTTTTTGTTGGTTTACTACTCCTACGTGTATAGCCTATCCTGAAGTATGGTTTATATACACAGTGAGATGCCACCAGAGAAAAAGTGATTTTCTATTTGGCAGTGGATATCAATTGCAGATAGTTTCTAGGTTAAAGGTGGGATCACATGTCAACCTCCCTTCTTGTTGCTGCCCCTGTCTGTACTGAACTTGTGCAGGACTTGTGTGTGCTGTCACAGTCCCTGTGAGTTCATCAGTCTATCAGTCCTGTGTGTCTGGACAACAGTTTCCCTAGTGCCATTGCTCATCTCTGTGTCCAACAACCTTTACACCTTCACTTTGGGCTCTTAGAATTTGTCCATCTCCTCTTTCTTTCTTTACCATGAAGTTGTGGAGAGTAACCAATAATCAATTTTTCAAGTTGTTTTCTGCCCCCACAAGACCAACAAAGCTTAACCCAGTGTCTAGGCCTTTCTATCTTCCTCTACTATAACTGCCAGACACTTCTACAGAGAAAAGAATCAATAAATGTCAGAATCATCTCACTGAGTTTTCCTTATTGCCCGGAAATTGATACAGTAATTCTTTACTACCTTGAGAAATCTACTATCTTCCAAAATATTTAAATATATATTTTATCTCTATGTTCTAGTTTTTATTAGAAAGTAATAGTAAAAAATATTGGATCCTAATATTAGAAATTGGATCTTACATTTAAATTTTTATATACAACTTTAATAAAGTACTTCTTACCTTTCTCATCAATAATACAGAACTTTACAAGTATTCACTTAGGACACTCTATTTCGTATTATTATACAATAATATTTCCATTCTACATTATGCCCGAACTCCCAAGTTTTAGTTACCATTTTGTCATTTAATCAGTGTTTCTCTCTTTGTATGCTTGCACAGAGAAATATGTAAGTAACATTTCCTTCTAATTGTATCTTCAGTCTTGACTTGATAATGTTTGTTCAAATCAAGTCTCTCATCTTAGTAAGTTCTCTTCAGTTTTTAGTGTCAAGGGGGAAGCTATGAAAGGGAGCAGATCATTATTTCATATTCACAAGAACTGCTGCTGCAAGACCAAATCATCTATCAGAATTGTGGAATGAAGATGTATGGATCTCTTGCTAGTTCAAGATCATTCTATCTAAGCTACCATTTAAGAAGATGCTTACCTTTTAAAGCATATTTTCAGTGTTCTAGACTTTTCAAAAGACATGTTGATCCTGAAAAGGGCTTTCCATTTATTTTTATTTAGTCCAATCTGGCCTTGCAACTAGTATTTTATCAGAACAGTTCTTTCTAGACTCACTGAGAGTTTCCTGATGATAAACACAGGGAGCACACCTCATACTCTGTCTGACAAAAGTTAAACCGTAATCCCACTGGAGTTCTTATTAAATCACATTGCCTTCTTCCCAGTATTTTTCAATTTTCTTCCTTTTCTTCATGATATTTTTGTATTTTATTTTTATTAGCAAATAATAAGTTGTGTCTACTTTATAACAGCCTACTTAGTTTTTAATTCACTGAACATTTCAGAGTTTATATATCTCTTTTGGTACTCCAACTATCTCAATTACCTATATACTAAAGATGGCAAAATTTATAGACCTAGCCTCAAAACCTAGCCTGTCAGATGTACATACTCTAGTAAATAACTGATATTTTCACATAACTCAGTATGCATATCACAAAGTTAATATATTTGGTGTTCTACTTGTGAGTCTCCAAAGTTTTCCTTTTTCTTACAAAGCAGCATTATCCATTAATTTATCGCTATTTTTATTAATTTACCCTTCCTTTATCCATCATATTGAAACTTAAGAAACTCCTGTTGGTTATACCTCTAAAATGTATCTCAAATCAGTCCACTAGCCATTTGAGAGCTACAGATTATTCCTTCTGGAATATATTTAACACAAGTCACATAGAGCATGTTAATAAGTTGTTCAAAGATAATAAGCAGAGATTGCAGTCATTCTTATTTCATATTGCAAATTCCCTACATTCCATCAATTCAAAATCTGCAAAAAATCAGAGGAGGATAAAGGGCATGTTCTGCAAGAATGAAGACTAGAATTTCTGTCTTCAATACCACATAACAAAGCAGGATAGGTATGCTAATTCACCTGTAACCACAGCTCTCAGGAGGCAGAGACAGGGGATCCTTGGGGCAAGGTTGATAGCTACATTAGCCAAATTGGTTCAAATTGTTGTAGGTTCAGCAAGAGACTCTTCCTAAGTGAAGAAAGTGGCAAGCCGTCCACAAAGCTACTTAACATCAAACTCTGACCTCCATACATAGATACACACATGTGCATGTATTCCTGCATATGTGTGGTCACATACATATGAACACATTATACATATAAAACACAATAATAAATTATTGAACAAATTACTTTGCCATAAAGAGACTGTCCCATCATGAAAATGATTCTGGTGTCTATAGAGTTTATTAATATTACAGTAATCAAATAACTTCTAAAAACTAATTTTAACTTTTGGATTATGAAAATGACAATTCAACTTCCAGAATACCCTTTTTGATTTTAAGGATGTATGGCCATTAAACACCAATCGTAATGAATTCCTTCTATAAACTTTTATCCCTTCTCCTCTAGCAGAAGATTAGATAAGAAAGAAGCTTGCCAAGCTTTTATTTTGGTTTATCTACTGTCAAGATTTTATTAATATTCAACATGTCTCATCAGAAAGTCAAGGAGACAAAGTAGACAACTTTGGCAAAGTCAGTATACACCATCATTATATTGGCTAAACACTGAATAACATTTCAGAAAAAGAAAGCTGTACACTTTAATCAACCAGGACTCATTTCATATGCTTAAAATAAACACAAATATTGATTGTGTCATCAGAGAAACCAGTTGATTGCTGTCATTGGGAGCTTTGCCTTTTGTGTATTATTATATTAGGTTTTTTTTCAATGTTGTCGTCTTCAGTAAGCTAAGAACACTATTGTACTATGTCATCATCCACTGTGAATTCATACAGTATCATAAAATATTTCAATTTGATCTATGATTCTAAAGAAATTTTTAAGGAATCCTCTCAGACATTTGTTGGACATACACTTCCTTTCTAAGTCTTGATGAAATTATCATTTTATAGACTTCCTAAAATCAATTTGCCCTAAAATTTATTTTATATATAGAATCTTAACTGCTCTCTTTGGAACACTCCTTTTATGATTACTAGGACACACGGAAAGTAAGCGTCTTTTGTTCACATATTATTAAATGTTCATAACATTTCATTTAAAGTATCAGTGTAGCCTTTGATGTGTTGTTCATTATAACTTTAGGAAGGAATGGTTGTTGGTTTTCACTAAATGTCCTAACGTGCCTTCTTTGAATTTCCACAGAACTCTGTACCATGGAGTGTGGGAGCCATGGAGTGTGCTCAAGGGGAATATGCCAATGTGAAGAAGGCTGGGTAGGACCAACATGTGAGGAACGTTCCTGTCATTCTCACTGTGCTGAGCATGGCCAATGCAAAGATGGAAAATGTGAGTGCAGCCCTGGATGGGAGGGCGACCACTGCACAATTGGTAAGTGTCAGCATACTTTGACTAGAGTAAGTTAGGATAATTGAAGAAGCAAGAACAGTCTATTGAGCCAATTGTCATGATAGTCGTAGATTTTGAAGTTGGAGAAAAGGGGGAAAAGAAATACTGACTACAAATATTCTGTGAACTAGAAGGTTTCTTCTTTAATAGTATTGTACTCTTTTCCTCTGTAATTTCTTTTCTCATTATTTCAGTGTTCTTTGTATTTTCTGCTTTCAACCACTACGAGTTATGCAAATGAAAGATGATACATTGGGATAAAGTGTCATTAGTTAATAAGACAAGAGCTCTTGTTGACAGTAACATTCACTGTCCATTGTTTTTGAAAAATATAGGTTATTTTTTGTTGAAAGCACCTAAAGGCAATTTCTTTAAATGGGACCACTTTAACAGAGACCATTTGATATCATTAGAGGCTGTCTTTTATATATATGAAAAAGGCACTCCTGACCTATTGTCAATAGAACTTCTGTGTTCAATTGTCTGTCTTCATTCAGTAGTACAGACTTTATGCTGAATGAGTCAGCCTTTTTCATAGCCTTGTTCTCAATTTACAAATTTTCAAGCAATGGTCAGACAGAATACCCTGTAGACAGGGGGGATGACAATGTAATAATTAAAATACCATGTGATATTCACATTATAAAAGATATTACTAATAATTAATATTTCTAATGCAAAATAGTTTTTTAATCAAACTTTCTATTTGTGTCCATATCTACCACAAAGGTTTCTTGTATTTTGTTTTAATTGCATTCATGGTTTCTGTGATAAAATACCTTGAGAAAAGCAACTTGGGAGAGAAGGAGTTTATTATTGGCCCCAGTTCCTGGTTACAATTCATTATAGCAAGGTAGCCACAGTTGCAGGAATTTTCAAGAGTTGGACATACCACATCCACAATCAGGAATAGAGCACAGTGAATGTATGTGTACTTGTGCTCAGCTCACTTTATCCTTTCTTAAACAGTTCAGGATCCCTACATAGAGAATGATACTACCATTAGAGTTCAGGATCCCTACATAAGGAATGATACCACCTATATTAGGTCAGTTTTCCCATCTCAGTTTCATCAAGATAACCTCCCACAGGGAGCCCCACAGGTCAGCCTGATCTAAATAATCCCTTTTTGAGACTCTCTTCCCAGATAATTCTAGGCTGTATAAAGTGACATTCAAAACTACCCATTATACCCACTATGCACGTAAAATGAAATAAATACAATTGTACAATTCCCATTGTTCCACTAAGGAAATGGGTCACAGTGTTCCATTAGCGTTTCCATGACTAGACAGAAAATGTGCACCAAGCAAAGACAGAAATTATCTTTTGTTTTGGGCAATTTCTTTTTTGAAAATTGTTCATATAATGCATTTTAGCTTATTATTTCTCCTCTCCAAACTCGTCAAAAACCTTCCATCTCCCTACTCACCCAACTTCATGGCCCTTTTCTCTGAAAAGAAAAAGATAAACCCAAATATATACATAGAAGTACACACAAAAGTATTATTTGTGTTGACCAACTCCTTCTGAACATTAGCTTGCCTTGAGTACAGTTTTTGATATACAATTCATTGTCAGCATTTTCCCCCTAGTGTACGGTACTGTGGCTTTCACTTTCATGTGACATTATTTTGTTACAATAGTTGGATATGTCAAAGCAATGCATACTATATATGTGTATATATATATATCATATATACATATGATTTATATAAATTGCATTACTATTCTACTATAGGTACAATAAGTCTTGTTCTATGACCACGGAAATAGTTAAGATTCCTTAAAAAGGTGGTAAGGGGTGATTCAGATGCAGCTTAAGTAATTACATTTTCAGGACAGTAAGTTTATTGACTTCACACGAGACTATTTCAATATTATGATAATTACCAAAGGTGGTTGGTTGCTCCAGAACTCCCTTCTAAAGATATTCCTAATAAGAAGATAAAGGGAGTCCTCTTTCATAGAAGTTATTACTAAAATGTAAAATATGAAGTTCTTATACTTATAGTGAAATATGACACTTTTTTAAGGAAGCCTAATAGAGTTTCTTGCAGAAAAGACATTAATAACTTTCCCACAGAAAATATTATTCTCAAAATACACAGGCCAGTGTACCAATATTTGAGCTGCATGTGTTTCAACAATCCATAGGATGTCATTCTCCTTCCAAACAACAGAGGGTAAAGCATAAGTATGTGTTGTATAGTGTTTATCTCCCAGAAATTTATTTAATCTTTCTCTTCCCCCCTTTAGCTCACTACTTAGATGCTGTCCGAGGTAAGACTTTTTCTTAGTAGCAGGAATGTGCTTTTCAAAGCAATGTGCGTGTGGGAGAACAAAGGTGATGGCATTTTGGTTTTATTTCTTTGGATTCGTTTGATTGCTTGGTTAGTTTCTCTCTGGTTATTACTTTGGGCAGCCTTACTTAAATGTAATTCTTCTGTGTTTATACTAATGAGACTAGACGATAACTTGTTTTTCTCACATCCAAGTCAATGTTCCTACAGTATAGAATAGACTGGCAGTTTTATGGACTCTTTTTCTGTGTTCTTTTGTAAAAACTTGTGGGAGAGGATTGCACATGAACACAAGTCTACAGACAATCATTAAATAAAGTTGGTTGAGGTAAACAGGTGAAGTATTATTCAAAACAATATATCTGTGTCCATGTATAAAATACTTCTGTCCTCATAAAGGCAGAATTTTCCCCATTCTAAGTACCTTATCCTTTGTCCCTCCAGGAATTTGCCTTTGACTGAAACAACAAGGGATTTTCTCTCAGATATGTGGTGTTTTTCCATCCCAAATCACCTTGAGATTTATTTTTTCCATTGAGTATCCATTAGAATAGACATACAAAAATTCCTTTATCAAGGCTAAGGATACTCATTCTATGTCAAGGCTTGGAGATATGATTTTTATAAAAGGTATCATTCTTTCTGTCTGCCTTCTCCTATTTTAAGGTTTTATTTCCTTTCTCTGGGTTATTGATAATTACTTGGAAAATCTTTTGGACAGAAGGTGGGGTTACTTCAATATTTTTAAACCCATGTTTATATTTATGCTTCTGAATTTTTCTTTTGAAGACATACAGTGAAAAGAATGTTGATCGGACTATCCCTAGTAAAAGCCATGTCTGGTCTTGTATGACTATTGGGAATATATTCAAGACCTGTATATCATTATTATTGTTGTTGTTGTTGTTTCCATATATGTGCCACTGATCACTTGGAACATGCACAGTTCCCTTTTGATAGACCCTACATCTGAACTATTGGCAGAAAGAGTAAGGCACATTTTCAGGAGGTACGAAAGAAAAAGAATCTAATTCTAAAAAAGCAACATTGCCTGTCTTTGTGCTTTAGTAATTAGTGAAAAATATTCAAATATTATACTTTCTCTTGATTATATTTTCCCAGTTATTCTCTAGAATTCTGAAACTCTATGTATGGCATATTTTGATCCCATAACTATTTTCTGAGTACTTAATATTATTATTTTAAATAAAGTAATATGCTGGCTTATACAAGAGATACCGCAGAAGTAAAATTCCCAGTGCTTAGCCCTCAGATCAATAGTAATCTTGAAAATCTGAATAGGTGCAAAAAAAGTGCAGCACATTTCTAAGGAATAAGCAAATACACCATGGTGTGGTCTGAATTACAAACCAACATACCTATGTCCTGAAGCACTAGAACACAGGGGGAAATCATCACAGGCGAGAAGCAGTTGAAGAAAGTTTCTCTTCATAGAAACTGCTGTCTTTCTCCAATTTATTGGCCATAACTAGATACAACATCATCTATCCCATTTTGATAGAGATGAGGAGATACATTTTTCAAAAAGAAACAAACAAAAAAATTTTCTTGTCCCCACCACAGTTTCCTTTCTATCTGAACCAGAGGTTGGGAATTGGGGTTAGCATTAATAACACTTAATTGGCTCTCTAAGGAAAAACACTGCAAAGTCAGGGATAACAAGTTCCCTGGGAAGGTGTTGCAAGTAAGCAAGCTCCTCTTGCATTTATTCAGCACCTCATCCGAACAGAGCCCAGATGATTAAATTCTTCCCTGTAGGCAGATACATCACTGTTGGCCAATCCCATTCTGAAATCTCTGCAATTGTTACCCTCTGCTGTCTTTTCAGATGGCTGTCCAGGGCTCTGCTTTGGAAATGGACGATGTACCCTGGATCAAAATGGTTGGCACTGTGTGTGCCAGGTTGGTTGGAGTGGGACAGGCTGCAATATTGTCATGGAAATGCTTTGTGGAGACAACTTGGACAATGATGGAGGTGAGTTACTTACAAAACATTCGTGTAAGAAAGCAAGAGACTTGCCTCTAGCACAGTAGTAACCAAGCTAAGAGGAAAAATTAAGAATCCTAAATACCAATAAGATTGAGGTGCATGGCATGATACTATTTTTAATTTCAATAATATTTTTAAAATATTGTTTATTGTTTATTTAAAATTACTCTGTCTGGGCAATGCTCCAAATGTTTTACATGTATAGTATCTCATTTAATTGTAATCATAAATAGATGCAGAGTGTGTCTCAAAAACTAATAAATAAAACGTCATGTTAAGTTCTTAAATACAAAGAATATTGTCTTGTGTCCTCTGAAAGTCATCAAGTATTGCTAAGAGGTAGAGACAAAAGAGGGAGCTCTAAATAATTAAGGACAAAGAAAATATTTCATTTTGTGTACATTAGCATCTGACAACTTAACATCATTATGATCTTTCCATTTGACATAACTTTTGTATTCTTTCTTGGCAAGAAAATATGAAATTAACAACAAATGCTTTCCTAATTACAGTACCTTGGGTTAAAATAAAGTAGATTATTAAATGTGGGGCCTATTTCCTATATTTGTGAGATGCATTTCTTATCATTTCCATCCCAATAAAGAGCTTAAATTCGTGAGAGAGCAGATAGGGTTTAGGCTTTCACCTGGTTGTAAAAGTTTCTCCTTTGGGTTGGGAAGCTAGTTCATTGGACAGAGCCATCTTCTCCCAACATCTGAAAAGCAAAGACAGGGAATCCTTGCACTCCCCCTTGCTAATCTAGCCCTAAGTGGTAGACTCTGGATTGGGTGAAAGACTCTGCCTCAATGAAGAAAGTGAAGAGTAATCAAGGCAGCCACCCAATGTCAGCTTTAGTCCTCCACACGTGTGCATAAACAAACACCCACATGCGTACCATACACATGCACACCATATACACAAACAGAAGCAAACGAAGCTTCTTTTTTTACATGTTATGGATGGGAAAACTAGAATTAATAGTAACAAGCATTAAGTACATCAAATGTGGTTATCAGTATTAAATGAGATAATTCAAGTAACTACATGAATTATAATGGAAGGACAACAGACACACACATACAGAGAGAATGGGGAAGTATACTCTTTTTTCCTAAAAAATACTAGTATATATATATATATATATATATATATATATATATATATATATAAAATTTGGGATACAGAATGAGTTTTTTACAATTAAATGGTATATAGATCAACTGCCTGGCTGAGTTTTATTATTCTCTAATACCCATCTCTACTTTCTTTGTTTTAGTTTCATTCTATGCATCCTTTCCAGAATGCCTTCTCTTCACTCACGTATCTCTGTCCACTATTTAAGTCTCAACTCAAGCCACATCTTCCATGAAGTCTCTGACTGTATGGTGCATATTATAAGCACCAGGGGAGGCTGAGGAAGCAGAAATCATACAGTCTTAATTATATATCTTCTGTTTCACTTGATATGCATCAGGCATGACACACGTGCCATATCTATTTGCCAGCTATAATTGATAACAACAGTAATTCACTTGTATGCAGAATTTACTATGAACCAGGCACTGTGCTGAGAATATTATGTGAGATATCTAATTTAACCTCTTCAGTGTAGTAACCTCAGTTGATGATATTTGCAAATTATAAAACTAGGCACAGGAAAATAAAGTTTATAGGAAGGAACTGAGAGATCTTGAGTGTAAGGCCAGGTGATACACCTTGTTCGTGCAATTGATAGAGATTTACTATCTGATGTGTTCATTGAAGGGCTCACAAAATATGTTCACAGCCTATGCATTTGTAATTTCTGGACCAATTAAAGTCAAGCAAAATAAGTCTCCTGACTTTATCAAGTAATAAAAATAATGGAATATTTAATTATCAAGCCTCTTTATGTCTTCAAGGTCACACCAAGGGAGCCAAAAATGTTTAATGAATGGATCAATTAAACATTAATGAATTATTGAATTATCAGTTCTCAATGTCTGTGTATATGCGGTTGCAAAAAAAACATAGACGATTTTACTGAATGTGTATTGACCTCTGCGTATTCCTTAAAACTGTGTATCTATATGCAAATTGAAAATCAAAGGCCTGATAAGAGCTGAGCATAGCTTATAATTGTCTCCTTAGGGACTAAGGTTAGAAAGCTCCATGAGAGTTTCAATTACCATTTTTCTTTTAGTGGGACTAAGATAATATTGATGACAAATATAGATTGGCCTTTACATTAAGATAGAAAGAGAGATTGAATAACCACTAAAAGTGACTAAGATTTTAAACCCATAATTCTATTTCTAAATGTTTACAATGAATACATTCAAGGTCCTTCATTTGGTGATTTCAGCTTTCCAGATTCTCCAAAGGGCAGAATTCGTTTAGCTGACTATTATTAATGATTAGAATCGTTCTTTGTATATTTGTATGTGCTTTAATTAAATCAAAAAGTGTCTATTGAACATTCCTGAAAAAAGTAATACTAATTTCTATAATGCAATTCTTAAGAAACCTTCCAATCAAAGCCACAGGGCTTCCAAGCAATTGTTTCAAGAAGCTGCTACCTGATTATTCCATATTCCACCTGATACTTAAAACTTCTTGGGATTTTTTTCTTGCATCTTAATCACCATTGAATATTCATTAGAACCACTGATACATCCTGCAGTTTTGACTGTAGTATTGTAACTCTCAGTAAGTCATTGGGCTTCATTGAATATGTAAGTGACACAGCTTCCCTGTAAGCCAACTAAGAGGTCCTTGCAGAGTGAAAGCTGAGAACACATAACCTTTGGATTTTTTCCCTAACATTCAAAAAAAACCAGAAAGAAAGATCTCTTATTGTAAGTACTGATTACTATAAAAGTCACAACTCTGTGGAATACTGTGACCACAAGTATCCCTTTAAGCCCTTAGATTCCTGCATATATATGCAGGAAAAACAATGTCACGGGACCATCTATTGATTTGTTAGTCGTGTGTCTTTAATTGAAAACATGATCACCAACTTTTACAAGCCCAGGAGGAGTGGAATGAGCATTGTATTAGATTTATCCAAATAGCAAAAACAAATAGTGAATGGAACTATCATCAATAAAAAGTCTATTTCAAAGCTTTCATTTAAAAAAAAGCAGTTAAGAATAGACAGATCAACACAACCAACTAAAAGACAAGGAACATTCTTAGGTACAAATTTAAATTAAATCAGCACCAAAAAGTCTGTGTGAAGGAGCTGGAGACATAGCTCAATCAAGTGCTTGCCATACCTGCGTCCGATCACCAGTGCCCATGCAAAAGCTTAAAGGCCTAGAAATCTGTTGGGGAAGTAGAGAAAGGGCCATCCTTAGGACTTGCTAGCCAGCTAGCCAAGCCAAATTGCTCTATGAACTCCAGGTTCAATGACGGACCTTGTCTCAGAAAACAACAAAAAAAGAGGAGGCCCAATAAGATGACTCAGCACATAGTTTCTTGCCACAGAAGCCTGAGGACCTGCGTTCAATCTCCAAATGCCCAGAACCAATGTAAGGTGGAAGAAAGAGAACCAGGGCCACTAAGTTGTCCTCTGACCTCCACATTAACAGTGTAGCATGCATGTCCCTACACATACATCATATGTAGACAAGCATGCACAAATACATACACATGTATCATAAAACCAAAAAAAAAAAGGTTTAAGTCCTTAATATTGGCATTTATTTATTTATTTATAGGCAGTGTTCTCTCTGCATGTACACTTACGGGCCAGAAGAGGACATAAGATCTCATTGCAGATGGTTGTCAGCCATCATGTGGGTACTGGGAATTGAACTTAGGTTGTCTGGAAGAGCAGCCAGTGCTCTTTACCATTAAGCCAACTCTCCAACCCCTCAATGTTTTCTTTTTATTTATTTGTTTGTTTTTTGGAGCTCACAGAGATCCTCCTGCCTCTGCCTCCTGAGTGCTGCAATTAAAGGTGTGTGCCACCACCACCTGGCTCACTCTACTTTAAAGGAAAGGAAGTGGTATCTGAAATTGCAAAAAGATTGTGGCAGAATATTAAAAATATAGAAAAAGGATGTCTAATCACAACAGCCGCTTTTCTCAGGTTTTTAAAAAATTTCTCCATTTGTCCCAACTTCTCTGGGAGAAAGTGTTCTAGTGGTCTATGTTCATATTTGTTGGAAAAATCAGTTAGTTCATTGCCTAAAAGAGAATGATTTTCCAGGAATTGTTCTTCATAACAACTTACCATTAAAACTAGTAACTATTTACAAGGTCTTTTATAGTCATGTTTCTATTTTATAGAAAATATCACCACAGGTGAGTTATGAACACATACACACACATGGATCAATGAACTTCATGTTTTTACTATCGCCAGCATGCTTCTGTTTTTACTAAGTAATAAAAGACAAGGAGTCATGAGTTGACACCATTTGCTCTATTTAAGGGCCTCCCATTTTGTTTGACAATTTGGTTGTACACAAAAGATGCAATACCAAAGATATAGTCATAATAATTCTTTTTTTTTACTATTCCTCCCCATTTCTGAACAACTCATTAATTAAATGACCATTGTCTGGTTGTAAGAGCCTAGAGTGCATATGCTTCCAGATGGAATTGAAAGGAGGAAAATCTAAACTTATAACTGTAGTTTACAAGATTGGTGGCTGGGTCTAACCCACTACCTACTAAGGCAGCTATTTGATATCCATCTGTGTAGTTTACAGTGTTGAAATGGATATTACTTAAAATAAAATAATTTAATTAAGGTAATGTGTGAAAACCTCATTAACATATATTTAGGTGCATTAAGTGGTGTTTTGTTAATGTCTAGCTAAATTTACAGTTGTCCTAGAAGTAGGACAATTTTGAGCATTGACAGATCTTCTATTCTATCACCATGAAAAAGTTAAACTTCAATCCAGCCTCTATCCAAGTGATAACAAATCCTTAAATCAATAAAATTCAATGAATGTTGAGTTCCTGTCATATTAATATAGTGTCTACAAACTCACCATTGTATAGGGTCCAATCTATTCAGAGTTTGTTCCTAATTGAACACATTCCAATGAACTGATTTGCTGAACAGTATTAAGGCTATTTCAATAAGACTTGAGGCTGAACATTTTAAACTATGAATGTAAACCATTTGCACACACCTCTAAGACTCTACGCCTAGATGCTTTGTAGTCGTTATATTCCAGACCATGGCATAATAACAAGTAATATTTATCAGCTACTAGTTACAAACTAGACAATGTGAAAATTCTTAATATTTAACTTTCCAAATTTACTGGACTTCAAATGGCATAAAAAACAAAGTGATAATTTTAAAAATCTTGATTTTATTTGTACTTAAGATACTTTGACCATTATCAAAGCTACAAACATAGCTAACAGGTCAAAAGTCACCTTCTATATCTTTGTAGTTTTTAAGATCTACCATGTTATGAAATTTTGAGTCCATAATACCATATTATTGTATACATGAGACAGTTCATCATCTATAACTTTATAACATTGAATGAATGACTCCACATAACCCCATCTCACACCTTCTGGAAAATGTTCTTATGTCATTTACTTTTATAAGTTTGATTGCATTCTTCAAATAAGAGCAATCATGAAGTATTCATTCCTTCCTGCTAACTTCAGTATAATATTATCCAATCTATGTTCATACTACTCTGAAAGCATTCAATGTTGTATTTAGAATCATTACAACATATGAACCTTGCAACCCCTTATTGGAAGGCATTGTTACCCACAACTTATAGGAAAAGAACCTGAGAGTCCAGGAGTAGAATTGCTTAGTCCAGAGTCCAGATTGTAAGTGTCAAAGTATACTTAGGAATCAATGTTGTTTGAGGGTTTTTTTTTAACCTTAATTGATTCAAATGCTCTAAATACCTATATATAGTCAGGGACTTAGAAATCCTACAGACTCTGAGAATTCTGGTAATAGTCACTACTTAGATAGGGATATTAAACTAAGATTTCTAAACAGAACACAATATGTTAATATGACTCCCACATAATGTATAGCAATGGAATCACATTTAGCTTCTTTTCCTCTAATTGTAAAATGAATCTGAAAATATCTATGTAAAAATGTGCCGCAGAGGTTAGCTAAAATGATACATTTGGAAGCACCTAATACTTAAAAAATATTAACTAGTTCGCACAAAGTTGAAAATTATTTCGGAAACCCCACCAAACTTTAGCTGTCCATTTCTGCTAAAACAATAGTATGGGTATTGTGAGCAAGTTCATTCAAGATTTAGGCCACCATGAGTTTCTCCTATATTGCTCATATCTCCTTTTCTAGTCTCTTTTTCAGTCAAAGGCACACATCTGATAGGCAAACATTTACTACCGATTACTTGATCACATAGAAAAAACAGTATACTTGATTTTCATCAGCATGAATTGAGTCAATTTGAAATAGACCCAGATTGGTTAGAAAACCTAGGATCAATGAACACTATGTTTAGTCTCCCAAGACAATGTAACCTCTCTCTTTTTTTGCTCTCTTTTATTTTTATTCCATTAAAGAAAACATTTTCTGAAAATAAAATCAGCTAACATATGATATGTTCTTACCTGACACTCTGAGCTTGGCTGTCAGTAGGGTGCCACAGTTTCCTTTTCAGAACAATAAAAGAACTGTTAATAGCCAAAAGAAAAAAACACACACATCCAGTGTGACTGTCATTTGCACTTCTTTGTAACAGTCTAGACATACTGTTTGGGGTGTTATCCAATGTGATAATTGGTAAGTAGATTTTTACCCGTGTGCAGGGTTTGCCTGCAAATTATAATTCAGGGTTTCATGCCATTGCTGGCCTGCTTTTCTGTTACCTTTCAAAATTCAACAGTGTCTTGCTATTATTTTCAGAAAGAAAATCTCATAGGGTCAGCTCTATATATAATAGGCAATTACCAAATATAAGAGATTCCTTGAATTCTGCATCACATATCTAGATGAAAACATAATTCCCAGTTTTGAATTAGTTTAATGTTTAGTTTCAGAATCCAGTTTTGAAGATTACTATAACATTTGTATTTATTTAAAATCAGTTTATTTTCCATAATAAGACTGAATCACAGTTTATAGGATGAGGTCTGTCAACATTCAAAACTATTATTAGTGCATTTGTTAATACCAAATACAATACTAGGTGCTTCCATGTATATTATGCCAATAATTAAAAAAACACTATTCAATAAGAATGTAAGATAAAGATGAATTTGCATTTGACTCTCATAATTTTCATTGTCTGGAATATGGGACACCAATAGCAAACATTAGAAAACTCTTTTAATACATCTGATGTTGTTGCCAAGTTCTCTACACATTCAGATGTTGAATTCACAGAAGAGTAAAGAGATAATATGCTAAGAAGCAACTGAGAATGTCTTGTTAGAGAAAGAGGTAGTAATGTCATCTAAAATCCAGGGACTATCGGCTAATATATTTTTGCTAAACGATGAAAGAGGAAGGGGACTTGTTTTTGAAATGAAACCTTATGTAAACGTTAGTTATAAGTGTAAAAGAAATATGTTCACGGAGATACAGAAAGAAAGCATGGTCAAAAGTCGACTAAACAGGGAAAACAAGCAAAAAAAGCAAACTCCATTTTAAAACAAAGTACTATCTATGGTACAGGGAATTTGAAAAGGCCACATGTAGGGGAAAATATCTTTCTGGGTGCCCCAAGGCTACTCTTCCAAATTCCTCCTCTCTCAGTGTTGCTCACTTTCATTGCCCCCAGCTATGGTACATCCTCCTGTAGCTCAAATGGAGCATCTAAGTGAGGGAGGGGAGCAAGCAAAGTTGCTGCAGGAAACCAGTGCCTGTAACTCTTTTTTTACTCTCTCCCTTTTTTTTAAGTCGTTTAACATAACAACCATAGTTCTGCCTCCCTCCCCTCCTCCTGTTTCTCCCACCTTCTCCCTACCCCCTATCTACTCCTCAGAGAGGGTAAGGCCTTCCATTGGGAGTCTACTAAGCCTTGCATATCAAATTGAGAAACCACCAAGTCCCTCCCCACTGCATCAAGGCTGAGCAAGGTATCCCACCATAGCAAATGGACTCTACAAAAACATTTCGTACACCAAGGATAAATCCTGGTCCCACCGCCAAAGGGCCCACAAACTGCCCTGTCACCCACAGGCAGAGGGCCTAGTTTGGTCCCTTGCAGGCTCCCCATCTATCTGTCCAGCTCGGATCAGCTGTCTCTGTGGGTTTCCCCTACACGATCTGTTTGTTCCCCCACCATTACCTCGTATAATCCCTCCTCCCTCCCTTCTACTGGACTCCAGGAGCACAGACCAGTGCTTGTAACTTTCATCATGAGTCTTAAGGAACCCCTGATCCACCTGAACGCCTCTGTTCCACTGCGAGCTAAGATTAGTGTCTTTATATTTACCCTTGTTAAACAACTCTATTAGAGCCACTTGCCTGCTCTAAGGACCTTGGAAGGACTTTAATTTTTTTGCTTATTGGATATGGAGTGAAGTGTCCATCTGCTCAGTTAATCACTGCAACCACATTTCTTTTTGTTGGTTTGAACTCTCTTAGAGTTCTTCTCATATTTCACTGGTATAAGTGTCAGGTGTTTAAACACCTATTTTATTCCACTAAATCCAGAATTCCTAGGGGGAAAGGGGTCGTTTTCTTTCATTACCTCCTAATCAACAAACAAAGCATTTTATACCTTTTACATTCTAAATAGTCAGCCCCCCCCCCCCCCGCCCTTCCATAAGTCTTGTGTCCTTCATGGCTACTTTTCCAAAGAGTGAAACTTTTCAATGGCTCTTTTTTTCCTTCATACAAGTGGATTCAGGAGTTCAAGGCAAACGATGAAGGCCCCAAAAGGGAGAGAAAGTGACTAAGTTGATAGATACTAGGTTTCGTAATAACTGCATAAATTCTCATTGCTTGTATAAATTCCTGAAATAAAATAAAAGGATAATTTGCTACTTTAGTAGGCTTCAGAATCACCAATATTAAGTGAGTGCAGTCTTGGGACAAAGAGAAATTCCAGTTCAGTGGGTAGAATTCAGGTATGTGGATACTTAACACTGCACATTTGAAAATCACTGTCCTACATACTTTATCACGACAAAAATCTCAACCTCTGTTTTAAGAATTATCAATAGACAGTCATGTTAAAATGATTTGTAAATGCAAATAAAGTCAGGTTGTCAAGTACTAGTTAATTGTGTATTCCCCGACAGAACTTTTTTTAAAAGACAAACATAGTTATCATTCCTACTGAGTGTTTTCATTGACGTATACCGAACTATACCTAACAGAATACGTTGACTGAAAGCTACATTGAAGTTATATATAGTCTCCAGTTAACAAGTACTAGAGAATTCCAAACTGGAAGATTCATGATCGAAATAGTTGGATTTCTCCAGATTGCCCTAAAAACTCTGTGAGTAGCAATTCCTGAGAAACGTGCAAATGTAACAGGCTCTAATCTCAAAACAAGACTGGTGAACATTACATTTACTGTCTTTCTCCATTTTGCATATTTTTGACTATATTGTTTTCCTGGAAGGGAAATACCACTATTGATTTGTTTTGTCTTCCAGATGGTTTGACTGATTGTGTGGACCCAGATTGCTGTCAACAAAGCAACTGTTATGTAAGCCCACTCTGTCAGGGCTCACCAGACCCTCTTGACCTCATTCAACAAAGCCAGCCCCTCTTCTCTCAGCACACTTCAAGACTCTTCTATGATCGAATCAAATTTCTTATTGGCAAGGACAGCACTCATGTCATCCCTCAAGAGGTCTCATTTGACAGCAGGTATATAGAAATTTATTTTGTCCTTACTAAAACTGTTCATGATTTTCCTTCAGAAAAAAAAAAAGAAAATTGTCTTCTAAGGATCTAGTGGTTTCTCATCCCTTCCCACAATAGTGCTATCTTCAGACTTCTGTTAAATGCCTACAGTGTTACCAATTTGTTTCTAATTGCCAACTGGTCAGATTCTATAACATAGAAGTTATAGCACATGTCTATGTCTCTATGAAAATGGGTATTTGATGACAAAACGGAAGGAAAATTTGCAAACTTACTATTTAACTTCTGGAATCTTTTTGAAAAATCTTGAATTTCAATAGCTAAATTTTAGATTCTGTTTCATGATGAAAAGTGTTACAAGGTCAAAGGGTTGACTGACTTAATATCTTAATGGGAAATTCAAAATGAGAAATATCTGTCTTCTCAGATAGCTCAAATGTACGAATTACCTTTAAAGATCTGACAAGGTCCAATCCATTTAAATCAATTCACTTATTTAAAGTATGATAACCACTGAATACCAATGAACAAATCCTTATTATTAATAACAAACTTTAATAGCTAGTGCTAGGTATAGGTGGTCTGTAATTTAAGATCTCAAAAATGTCCTCCTTGGAACAGGAGAGATGGTTAGGTGATTTAACAGCACTTATTGCTCTTTCAGATGATCCAAGTTCAGCTCCCAGAACCCACATGCTGCTTCACCACTATAGGTAACTCCAGTTTTTAGGAGATTCAACACCATTTTCTGACGTCTGCAGGCCCCTATATACACTTTGTGCACAAACATACACTCGGGCACACAATACATGCATACACACACACACACACACACACACACACACACATACAAATACCACAACCCAAAAGATTCAGTATTTCAACAATTTGAGACCAGTGACTATCTAAGAAAATTACTAGTCAATGTTAACTTTTACACAGTAAAAGGGGGGGGGGGGATAAAGGTGTATGTGGAAACTTTACTTAATTCCCTTCTCTTCAGTTGAATATTAGAACTCTCATTGAAGCCAAAATGCTTTTCTTTATTTTATTACTATGTCGTTCTGCCCTTTTGAGCTTTCAATATAACCCAAAACCAATGCCAATATATCTCAAGAAAGGGTTTTTCTTCAAGAGACTCTAGACAAAGTTTGTCTTCCCCCAAAAGATTCAGTAATCCCCTCTTCGAAACGTTCCATCTTTGAGATAGAAGTAATCAATGGAATTATTTAAATATTGAAGACTTACTTCTAGAACACAAAAGAACAGAAAAAAATGAAGGCAGTCATTACTTCCATATTCCTAGTTAAGGTAGAGGGACAGTCAACTCTAGCTTTCTTCATACTTTAGGAGAAATCAGTACCAAAGAAGGGAGGGATTGAGAGGAAAAAAATAACGTTCATGACTTGAGATGTGTTGAATAACATGTTGAATTCAATAAGGGAGAAAGTCAAGACCTGCAAGAGACAGCAGACAAGCCTTTGTGACCCAGAGCAGGGCACTTGAGCAATAAACTAGAAAAGTCAAGACAAACAAACCCCTGTGGTTCAGCTTCGTGCTTCAGCAGTGCTTGCTAGGCGCTCACACAGTGAAGAAAACTATTACTTTGGGTGGTTAATGCCCTTGTCCTCCTCCTGGTTTGATTGAGTTTTCCCATTCTTTTGTAAAATGCTCCAAGTTATCATTTGACTCTACAAGTTGCATTTAAATTCAAAACAATGGGGCTCCATCCAGAGGTCTCTGCTATTAGAGTCCTAGCTGTCAGGAAAGATGTCCAGGGAGAGTACAGACCCTGGATTTGAACCCATGCACACTCGTCCCGAAAGCCTGATCTTTACATCACTGCACTGAGCCACAGTGGCTTGAATAAAAAAAAACTGGAGCATGTGACTGTAGTGTAGCTCATGACTCTTACACAACCTTGACCGTAGACTAACTTCTCTCATATAAATAGAAGATATGTAGATGCCATAATTCATCAAATCACGTTTTTTGATATTTTTGTTTGTTTGTTTGTTTGTTTGTTTGTTTTTTTGCCTTTGCCACATAGCTGAGCGACATCTGGGTAGACAGGTAAAGAAAGGAAAAATTGGGAACTTGGGAGTGGGGGTGGGGTGGGGGTAAGGGGAGATGGGGAGAAAAAAGTGAGAAGGGGGATGGGGAGAGCTTGGGGGAATGGGACGATTGGGATGGAGGAAAGGTGGACATGGGAGCAGGGAAGTATATATCTTAATTAAGGAAGCCATTTTAGGATTGGCAAAAGACTTGACTCTAGAGGTGTACCCAGGTGTCCATGGAGATGTCCCCAGCTAGATCCTTGGGCAGCTGAGGAGAGGGAGCCTGAAATGGCCCTATCCTGTAGCCATACTGATGAATATCTTGCATATCACCATAGAACCTTCATCTGGCGATGGATGAAGCTAGAGACAGAGACCCACATTGAAGCACTGGACTGAGCTCCCAAGGTCCAAATGAGGAGCAGAAGGAGGGAGGACATGAGCAAGGAAATCAGTATTGCGAGGGGTGCGCCCTCCGGCTGATCTAATGAGAGTTTTTTTCTTTTTTCAATCTACTCCAAACATGACTACAAAGTAAACCACATAATCTACATGGCCTGTATTACTTATTACTTTTTAATAATGTAAATAGGTGAACAGAAGCATTATTGATCTTTAGTGTCTAAGCATTTAATCACTATTAATAATGTAGAAGGTTTTTATAAATATGTAAAAACAAGAGTACATTAAACTAAATGACAGCAGTAATTTGCAAAGCCAGACATTTCACTCACCATCGCTAATGGAGAATTGCATTTAAAAACAACATCTTACAAGGGTTACTGCAATCACTGACAGTAAGTCTGGCCAAACTCATTTATCTACTTAGTAACTATGAGAAGTTGATCCCCACATTACTCTTTGTCATGTGTCTTTATCAGATGTTGTTCAAAATTATGCCACGGATGCATTTTGTTTAGCCTGACATTTATGAAGAGACCAAATATAAAAGTTTGATTATAAAATTCTTCTAGAAAATTCACAAAGCTAAGCACTGCCAGGCACACAGTTACATCATAGGCGGTCTGGAGCTGAGGGACAGCGGTTCCTCAAGATGGGACATACAATGCCTGTCTAATGCATCGCTGTTTCCATCGTACCTAGGTCATTTACCAATTTTCTAGTGACATGTGTTTCTCTGTTGTCATTTGAGGTTTTCAACTCTGATCTATGGAATTTCTGTGGCTTTCCTTGAAAAGGTTTGATGACTATGTAGCTGGGGCTGATCACTTTCTCCAATTGTCTTTATATATTGGTTATCATTTTACCTAATTTATGAACTTTTATTTTGGCTTTAAAATAGAGAAAAGATAAAAATGAAACAGAAACCACCCAGTGGTAATGCACACTTTAATCCAAGCACTCAGATGATAGAGGCAGGCAGACCTCTGAGTTTAAGGCCAGCCTGGTCTACAGAGTGAGCTCCAGGACAGTGAAGGCATCACAGAGAAATCCTGTCTCAAAATGCCCAAAAAACAGAGAAAGATAAAAATCACATTAACAGAAGAAACAATATTCCTAACCATTAGTTTACTGAGTGGCTATGTATACTTCATGGCTAAACTAATATATACTTTTCCTTTAAGATTCAGCTAATAAACTCATATAAGAAGGGGTACCCTGATTTATGGTGTATTATGTACCACCAAACATGATGAGACTGTATTATTACATTTCTCACCTAGCATAATTTTCAAAAACAGTTTTAAAATCTGAATGTTTTGCCTAGAAGATACCTCAGCAGTTTAAAGCACTTGCAGTGTGAGCCTGGTGACCTGAATTTCATCTCTGACACCCATACAAAAATCCAGATGGAGTTACTTGTGTCTGTAATCCTAGCACATCTATGGCCAGAAGCTTGTATACACAGAATAGAAGCAGACTCTAGAGAAACCCTGACCCCCCAAAAAAGCAGAAAGAAGCAACATCCAAAATGTTGTCCTCTGACCTACATACATGTGCTGTGTCAAATGCTCCTACCTATCTATTTATAACATACACACACACACACACACGCAGCACACATGCATGCACACACTAAATAAATCTATAAAATGTTAAAAAATTAAAACTCTAAAATCTCACAGCAGTGCTGCTGAACATAACTATAGAGGCCTCTTATAATATCCACACGTAACTGAAAGGTTCTAGAACTGGGATCAAACTTAGTACATCACTAAGCACGTGATACTCATAATGAACTACAAAGCAAAATGAAGTTAAACAAGATGATAGGTTTCCTCTACTTCTGTTAATAGAGCAATGGCTGCATTGTTGTTTGTTTTTTAGTTCATACTGGGATGTATGTTAATGCATATTGTTATCTCCGATTTATAACATTCCTTAATCAAGTTCTACAAGGATAAGGGAAAAGTCAGATTTCCCCATTCCACATTTTGAATATCTATTGCTATCTGGCAAACGTCTTCAGGTAATGGATTAAAGTGTTTTCTTCTTATTATCTCACAGGTCTATGGGTTAGAAATTCAGATATGATATGGCCAAGATGCCTTTTCTCTGTTCCATTATGTGTGGGGCCTCAGAATGCATCAAATAGCTGGAGGTTGAAACAGTAGGACAACAATTGGGAATCTTTCTGTGTACCTTCAGAATTTCGATAAGCTATTTGAGTTTCCCGATAGCATGGTGAATAACCAGCTCTGTGCTTGTCACAATTCTTATATTGTGCCTCTGCCCTATAAGAATGAGTGTCCCAAAAGACAGAAATGGGAGATGCCAGTCTCTTAATGAATGGGCATAGAAATTTTCCAAATGTCATTTGTGTCATACGCTACTGGACAAAGCCATCAAATAGCTCACCCAGATTCAAAAGGGAGGGCATGGGTCCCACTTCTTGATGAGTGAAATATGAAAGAATATTTAACTTTTTTTATCTACCATGACATGTTCCCAGATCCTAACACATTGCCTCACATAAAGCAAGTT